GTCGACACAGATCACTGCACCAGAGAAACAGACAGACTACAGACACTCGCTTCATGGTGTGTTGGTGACTCAGCTGGAGGATGAGGTTGACCTTGAAAGTTGTAGCCTTGGATGTGTGATGATTTTAGTGTTATTGATGATGATGATGGTACTGTTATTTTACTACTGCTGTTGATGATGATTTTGATGATGGTGATGACGACGACAATGATGATGGTAGCAAAGCGTAACATGTTCCTTAATAACACCATCGCCTCATTACAACTCCGCTCGAGATCTGAACAACACAGACACGGAGCTCCGGAGACCCTAACCATAAGCCTGAGCTATGAGCCATCCAATGTATCCATGACTCGAGATCCGGAACATCGAGTCGGGAGATCGAGTAACGGGGGTTGAGCAGTGGTCGTGCAGCAGCCAAACACGGGTCGATGGTCAGGTACCAGTCGGGTCCTCAAGCATATTCTATATCAAGCTTTGTAATACTCTCTATGTGCTGTTCTGGCTCTCTATTCTTTCCCAAATCACCTCTCTCTCTCTCTCTCTCTCTCTCTCTCTCTCTCTCTCTCTCTCTCTCTCTCTCTCTCTCTCTCTCTCTCTCTCTCTCTCTCTCTCTCTCTCTCTCTCTCTCTCTCTCTCTCTCTCTCTCTCTTTTTTCATGATTTTAACACCTATTTTATTGGGAGTTCACCTGGCCCTCCAATATTGACTGCCGTATATGCGTCCTTGAGTTTATTACCACACAACACCTGCCGCGAACACGGGTGTAAAAAACGAAGAGACGTCTGGTGAGTGCTGGCAGGTGTGGTAATGGAGGTAACTCGGCCTCCAAACACATTTAACGTGACCTAATTTCGCACTTGACCCCTTCTGACCGTTGAGACAGTTGGTCAGGATCCGAACCCCCCCCTTCATAAAATATTGGATCCGCCTTTGGACTCATACAGTCTAAGAAGTATTTTATCAATCAATACCTGGCAGGTGTTCACAGCAGCTGGGGCGCCACACGACCTGGTTTGGCCTGACGTTTACTCGACAGCTACCCAATGTACCTGAAATGACCTGACTTTGACCTGATTTTCAAAGATTCGTAAGACATTTTTCCCGTAAATGAAGTTATAAAAACGCTATATATTACTCGAGTATCAATAAATTCAATCTTAAGTTTGGTCCAGTTACGACGTTCTTTTATATTATTTATCGGCTAATTTTAGTCTATAAACAAAAAAATCTCATCAAATAATTGTATTTTGAAATTATCGACATATTTGATAAGATTGACAATATACTTTACAAGGATATCCAATTTCCCCACTGTAAATAAGATACGTTTGGTCAGTATCGTATCTTTTCCTGACTAATATAAATATTCCATATATACGTTTTCTTCAGTATCGGTAATAATGAATACATGTGACTATCATTGTTGTTGTTAGGGAGGTATTGTGGGTCTCTCCCTCCTCTCCTCCCCTTGCATGACGTCACAGGGCAGGTGGCGGTGGAGAAAGTGGAGGCGGAAGTATTGACTGCTGAGCTTGATTAGCTTCATTTATCCCCAGGTGTGAGGTCGCCTTCCCTCTCCTCGCCAGCACCTCTCTCACACACTAACGTCCAAATTAACGTTGTTGCTGTTGGGAACTGGGCCTTCTTCATTTAACAGTCTCGGAGAGTCTTATATTCAGCCATAAATTTTCAGGTTTATTTTAGTTGCTTTACTACTACAGTCCTGATTATTCCAATTCTCCAGCCTAAGTAAATGCCCCTTCCTGGGAATAAGCATCTGGTGGCTTTGTTGTCCATCCTTGGTCGAGTCGACTCACTGTTGACTGTTGTATTTTACTGCACTGTCATGTACACTGTTTGTATAGGCTTACTTGAAGTATACCTTGTATACCTGCAGTGTGTCTGTATATTGTATACCGGTACTAGCATTGTCTGTATTCATACTAAATCAATGAAAGCTTGCATGAAGCCTTGTACTGTATATAGCCATGCCCAAAATACAGCCGGTACTTTCATTAAGGCTTTGAACCACGAAAGTCAATTATTGTCATCCCCAAGATCTTGAAATCAAAATGGAATTTCACCAATAGTTGAATGGAATCGAAACACCAAAACGAGTGTCATTGAAAAATTTGCCGTGCTATCAAACAAGGAAGGAGGGATGAGATGATCAAGTCTCATAAATGAAGAATAGAATCTGGACCGTTTATAATTACCGGAAATTCAATAACGAAAAACACTCATATAAAACACAACAGATTTTATTTTGTGGATTATATATATATATATACAAGATAAATATACTGTACGGATATTTAAAACAATCATACAGATTTTTTTTTATGGAAAGCCCAGCAAACACACACGTAATACCACACAATACAATAATAATAATTAAATACAAAAATAAATAAAAAATTTAATATAAAATACAATACCTGTACAGGATAAACATTATCATATTTAATTTTCTTCATATGTATGTCTATACCCTAACTTAATTTAAAAGTAAGTTTACAAGTCAATATTCTTATTCACTGATCGGCCTGTTAGTTACTTGGGTGGTTGGTCACGTCTCTGTTACACACTGTTGCTAAGCAGGCCCGGATTATCCATTAGGCACAGTGCCTAGGGCCTACGAGATATTGGGGGCCTACGAAAAATAAAACGAGAACTTTTCTTCCCCTTTTTCTACAGGTTATTATTAAATTGATACTGAGGTACTTTTTTTCCATTTATTTATTACTTAATCCTATTAGTGTCCACCAGCTAGCTGTGCTTCTTGTAAACAAAACTATTTCTGTACTGTACAAGAACAGCTGATCTAACCCATTTTCTTTTACTCAATTCATGGCAAACATCACTGAATCTTATTCTTTCGACATCACATTTTATAATTAGGTACTAGCTTGTGTTATTTGTGAATATGCTGTCAAATGGGGCCCCATATCTTGGAGGTGACTAAGGCCTACGAAAGTCTTAACCCGGCCCTGTTAGCAAGTACAGTACTGGGCATGTACGTTACTAGAATGTATCTGTACCTGCGTCAGTGTTGGTCAAGTCTGGTGTTGAATGAGCTCACACTTGGTGCAGTCACAACACTCCTGGTGTTGCAGCATCACAGTGGCTATCCAGACAGGACATCAACATAGTGTTATAAACTATTAAATAATGTACAGTACAGTAATCCAAGTATGAGTTCTTATTATGTTAGTCAACACTTAACAGTTCATTGTACTAAACATAATTTTCATATGTTTTCAAGTAAGTCCTGTACAGCCGAAATAAAACCTTAAGACTTCATCCTTCACCATATGAGTTCCCATAAATAGGATTCATACACAGGTAATGGGCTACAATGGATATAATTTTATTAACATCATGGACAAAATATAGACAAGGCAAACAAATAGGTCTACTTTCATATTTTGATCCCTAAAACTTTATGATTTAAGATATCTGGTGATTACGGAACTGTACCCGTGTACTGTACAGGTGATCTTTGGAAGGAAAGGTTAGAATAGTCCAGTATGATATGACAAAATGTATAGGCAGTACCAGATTTAGGGGTGCTCAGTGTGCACTGCCAAACAGGCCACCCTCCACATTTTTAGGGTATCCAACTTTCAATGCAGAGGAGAAAATATAAGTTATCCTCTTTCGGTTTATTTTTATTGTTGTGTTAGTGGCTAGTTAGTTTTTCCTTTGTTGTAGTAATTGGCAACCTTGGGGGTATAAAGATACCTGTATGCTGTTGTTTACTCAGGCATAGGGTAATCAAGTTTTTTAGAGCAATTTTTAATATAGTATATAACAACGGCTTGTGGGCGAGTTACTAAATTACGTGATGTGGTGCTCAGGGCCCCCACACATCTGAACTTCACAGGGCCCCCAGAGGCCTAAATTCAGAGCAATGTATAGGCTAGAGGGAAACACAATATAGTACAGCTTTAATATCTGCAGAGCCACAAAAGGAGTTCATATTGAACATGTATAGGTTGAAATATTTTACTTTTTTTTTATTAGTATACAGTACATCATACTTTTTGCTGTAGCTTTTTTTACTTTTTCCATAATAAATATTAAAATCGGGAAGATCATTTGTAATCATCGAGTACTTGGGGATAAATTTTCAGCATTACACCATTAGTATGTTTGAAGGAATCTTTTGCCATTATTAAACAAATTCATGTTACCTCAATATTTGTCTATTATGTCTATTTAATATTTTTTATTATACTTAAACTGACTTATTTAATGTACTTGTAAATGTTCCTAGAGTATTGTACAGGTAGTACAGTACAGTACAGGCATTTGAAGATAAAACTCCTTAATATAGTGTCCATAAATTACTTTATAACCCATTTTAAAAATCAACAACCTTAAAAACATTGTAATTTACAGACAACACATTTGTTTTATTATACAGTAGTTGAGGAACAATTCATGAGTTTTTTCCTTATCTTAGTAGACTTCCACATGTTCACAGTACTGTATCTCCGGGGACTTGGCAACAAAAGTGAGCTTCATTTTACCTTTCAAGACGTGAATAAAAGTTTTGGTTCTGCTTCTCAATTACGATCTATTGTAACACACACACACACACACACATGGTTCTTTTATAAATGAACAGTTTCTAATGACAATACAGAGTAGATATTATATATCATAAATGTCAAATTATTATATACAACACTTGTAACAGTACAGTAATTTAAATCATTCGGACAAGGAAGATGAGGTGATGTACTGTACTGGGAGAGGACAGTGTTGAGGTTAGTTATAGAACACAACTTAACCCTCGATCAGCAGCTAAAGATTCCCTACTCGCCCCCCATCCCTCATACACACAAAAATGGAATGCAAGGAACATTCAGAGATGATAGCTGCCATTTTAGGGTTAAATAAATCACAGATATGAGTCCAAAGTGGCAGAATTTGATTTAGATTTACGTTTACAAAATATAGAGGTTAAACAGTTTAAAAGAAACATCATAAAGAATAATTATTTTTAATTTTTTGGTAGAAACTTTATCAGTGTAATAGTAAATAATTATGAACATTTACTACTGTGATAATGACTGAAAAACATATATATATATATATACGACACTATCACAAAATAAGAGTACAGTACGTAACTAGTCTCTGTACTTTGTGATGATACGAACATCACAAAAAGTCATAAATATTAAATACTACTGAATATTACTGACAAAATTTAAGTACAGTACAGTATTATCTGAAATACATCATGGATTGCACATATTATTTATATATACAGTATTATTTATTTAAGGTTGGGTTTCCATTGGTATAGTTTCCATAGGACTAGTATTACACATAAAAGAGGCCAGGTACTATACAAGAAAATATGTACAAAAATATCAATAAGACTTTGTTTTATAAGATTTTTTCCTTCATTAAGTTTGTGCAGTTGAAATTATTTTTGTTGGGTGAAAACAGAGAAGATTAGACCTCTACCTTCTTTACCCCATAACTTCATACAAAATGATATCTTTTTTATGAATGGTACTGAAATGATTAAACGTATAGATTGCAAGAAGATTAGTTACACAAGTTTATTTCACCTGATGATTAAACAACACTCTTAAACCACCTGAGGGTTTGGGTTATGTAGATTAGGTTAGGTTAGAATGAGTGTGTTTTATCGTAGTGAAATAAGCTGTAGGTGACTAATCTTCACATGATCCAAAAGGTTTGATTAGGTTTATGTTTGGTTCGCATGAGGATGTTTATCAGGTGAAATAAGTTGGGTTGGTTGATTAGTCTTCATGTGGTCCAAAAGGATGAGTAATCAATTTAACCTAAACACAATGCCTAACCCAAACTTTGTTTTTTTCTCAAATCGTCCGTGTGTGTGTGTGTGTGTGTGTGACTCCTTAGAACAGCTTCCTTTATGCCAACTATTGCAACCTAATGAAAGGAAAGGCAATTAAGATGAAAGTATTATGTAGTATATGTAACAAACATAGTAAGCCACAGCATGAATTAAATTTAGTTTCCGGATTTAGTCAAAAGAATTCTAAAATTGAAAGAAACCGCAAACTTTCACAAGCCATTGCTGGTCAATTAACTTGTCCTCATAAGAGTTGAGTTCAAACTTCTTCTCTAGTAAAGTAACTAATAATGTAGATCAATTCATAACATACTAGAATGAAAGCCAAGACTCTGTTAAGGGCATGTTAACTCAAAGATTTATTGTAGTCTATTTTACTTCAAAGAGTCACTTGGTAAAACCCCAACATTAGCCTTATTTCTAACTGTTATTCAAGTTTCATCATTAATTTTTTTGGATTCTTTCTTCTTGTAAAAATAAATAACAGATTTAACTATGAAGCTCCATTTTATTTGACATCAGCAGTAATTATGATAACCTGGGTATATTATACAAGGTGGATGAGAAATAACTGACACATACACTACAGTGCAGTGAGTCTCCACAGCCATGTAAATGTGTCAAGTTTTTTGGTCCACCCTGTATTTTAAGAGCTAAGGTACTCAAGGAGAACTTACATTCTGTCTTAGCAAATAAAGCATTACTCTCACACAAAACAGTAGTCAGCAGTATACAATAAAGGTTACAGGTCAAATACAGTAAGTGACAATCTTAAATAACCCAAACTTAACCTCACCATTGGGACTCTAGCCCATTAGGATTTAGCCACAATTGTATTGGTTAAGTTAGGTTGAAGCTTATTAGGATCGGGCCTATTTCACCCGACCTACAATAAACACAACGTTTGATACACCTTGTATTCTGTAAACATCATGTATAATGCATGCATTAGTAAATTCTTAGTCCATTTTTGTATGACATATTTACAGTATACAGTACAGGTATTACTTGTTACCCACACCTTTATATACAACTACGTATCCGTTTGACTTAAACAGTACTAACGTGAGTCTCAGGTGATATCTGATCCTGGAATATACCTTTACTTCATTATTTTTCAACTATTTCATAACTGTACATGATATGGTTTCTCAAAGTTATACATTGATATTGAACATTTAATTTGCCAATCACCTTGTCACATGAAAGTAACAAAATAGCATCGATATATTCTTTCTGAACTGCCTTGTTCAGAAGTAGTGAGGGGAGTTCTCTTACAAAAGATTTACAGTGACTGCTAAATCAGAGTTACATGTAAAGTGAGTTTTGGAAGAAGAATTCTTGAGCACTTGGATAGTTCATTTACCACTTGATGAATGGTGATCAGTGACACCTGCTTACTAATGAAGCACAATGGTGACCCAACAACATATCCAAGTGATGAAGTAAGTGTCTACTTGAGTGAGAATTCATTAGTTAATGTTGAAAGTGTGCAGTGGCTGTCAATCCTATATACTATTAAGATTTTATTCTCAGATTTGTTAATATTACTCTCTTCCCCTTACATAAACAAAAATATAATTAATATAAAATGCAGAGACTCAGATTGGCCATCAAACTAAGTTTACATGAAGAGTCTCAACATCTTATCACAGAATAATGGATGGTTAAGTATAATAGGCATTCCACAGTATATACATTAAGTACAGTGTGTGGATGGTTGTCTCAGTATAAAACTTCTATTAATCTAACTATCATCCACACCACAATGAACTAACATCCTCCATATGAATTTTTTATTTTGTGCTAGGCAAGATGAAACAGGGTTGGCATTGATTAAATCAATTGGATTTAATCACTTGATTAAATCAATCAAAAAAATCATGATTTTTTTTTCATCAAAAAGTTAACAAAAAAGAAATTTGAAGATTTATAAAATAAAATTCTTGTATAACTTTGTGCTGAGATTTAAAGTCATGTCATAATAATAACAGTTTATTATGATTTTTCTGTGTAATATATTAAGCTTTGGAATATGCTATCTTTAGGAACACTGGCAACTCATTCTGTGAACCAACAGTGGACAGATAGGACATGAACAGTGTTCAGTATACTGTACTGAAAAAAATCAATAATGACAAAATATATAAATAAAAAATCGAATTAATAAAAAAAAAATCACCAACCCTGAGATGAACACTGTTCTTGCTTAGTACTATCCCTAATTACTGACAAATATCACTTAAAAATACCTCCATATAGTTCCATTCACACAATAATTAAGTTTCTAACTGGCATATGTATGCACGGTGATGGTCTAATCACCATATTTCTGATTAAACATAATTTGGAAAATATTGGCTTAAATTCAGTATACAGTATTTCTTTACTGCAACAGTTTAAAGTGCCCAAATTTTTCTGGTGGCAGTTTAATGTGAATAAAACCTTGGCCAAAATTGAGCTACTCTTTGTGATGATTTCTGCCAAGTCTTGCTAATGGCTGATACTAAAGTGAATTAAAATTTGGCATTAGATACAAAAGTCATGGAAATGAAAAATTCTTTAAACACTCCAGTGTATATAGTGAGTTTAATATTGCTTTTTACCGAGTGGTGGGAGCCTCACATTATAACGGTTCCTGGGAGGATACATCCCTGCCCCATGAGGTGGTGTAGTTATCATATCACGGGGCGATGAATTCCTCATGTCACTCCCATTTGAGATGGAAACAAGCGAGAGGTCTTGAATTCCCGGGAAGGCGATGACGCATGGGAGGACGCTGCTGACCCGTTTTCTCTGTCTTACCATTGGAGCCCGAGCTGCGTCTAAGACTCCGGCTACGGTTGCTTCCAGTGCTCTCGTATGAGTCTGATGGGCGGAGCTTTGGGTACGAGACCATGCATCACCTGAGGTACTTGCTCCAGAGGCAGGTCCTGGCATTGCAGTTTCCATATTCCCACTCTTGTCTGCCTCAGTAGCACCTATGGGTGCAGGCTGGTCATTCCAAGCACTATTTACAGCTGGAGTGTTTCTTTCATTTTTATCTTCACACCGTGTATACTTACGCCAGTTAGCGCGTTGCTAGTCCCGTAGTCTGATCTGTTCTAAACTACGTCTATTTTCATCCATGCTCTTTTCTTCGGCATTTGATATGCGGGCAGCAGACATGGCCGAACTACAAGAGCTGGGTGACTGTGTCTGGCTGTGCATATCTCGCCCAACGCCGTACACGTGAATAATATCTGGTCGGTTATCTGGCTCTGGGTTTATGCAGTTATCTACCAAGGTTCTGAGCTGCAACATAATTAACAGAATGTGTTATAACATGAAACAAACCTCTGACATATTACCCTTAAATAATTATTATATTCAGTCATGTTGATAAACTTATAAAAAAATAAAGTATAAAATTGCCCAATTTTGGGGGGATTCTTTCTTCTTTTAAAAATAAATAACAGCTTTAACTATGAAGCTTTATTTTATTTGACATCAGCAGTAATTATGATAACCTGGGTGTAGTATACAAGGTGGATGAGAAATAACTGACAAATACAGTACAGTGCAGGTGAGTCTCCACAGCCTTGTAAATGTGTCACATTATTTTTGGTCCACCCGGTATTTTAAGAGCTAAGGTACTCAAGGAGAACTTATTTACATACAGAGAAAATAAACAAAAAGATGCATCTCCAAACACTGTTAGTATATATATTTTTTTCCAGGCAGTCTTCCTGAGAAACTAATTTACATAATCCTGCAGTTGTAAACTAATAAATGTCTGTCCTGATCACTCCCAAAGCCTGCTTCCAATTACAGTACCTGAACTTCCACAAAATCAATTTATTTTCCTTTTAAATTGCAAACGTTCTAATTTGTTTAAATATCAACATAGACCAGTAGTAAGACAACAGAACATCTTTGAAACTAAAATTATATATACAAATCCTGTACAGTTTACAAAAGTTTGGACAAACCTGGGAGGAGTAATGGTCAGATGGGAGTGGAGGGTAGTCACAGGTCTCAATCTTCTTGCACAGGGAATAAAGATTCATCTTATCACCATAAAATGGACTCTGCAAAGCTGCCATCTGTGAACACAAGACTTTTATCATGTTTGGGCTTTGGATCAATTACAGTAAACCCTCACACTTCAGGACCTCTTGGATCCAGATTTCAGTTGGTCTGGATGTGGCAAATTCCTATCCGGTCTCCCTCTCTATTATTATTAATTTTATTTTATTATTGTTATTACCCATATCAACAAAGTTCATGCACAATATTATGATTATCAGTAACGCGCCTTCATCCCCCAGTTCATCCGGACATTTGCCACATCCGGACTCTAATTGTCTGGAAGTGCAATATTTTTATAAGAGAATTACCATCAACATGACATCCCACTAAAGTTACAAAATATCCTTCAGATATAACTACAAATAAACAAATTCGAAATATCCAATGTAATTACAATGTCTTGAAAACATACAGTAAAACCTGAAAATAATGACATTCAACAACCATACCCTAAATAATGTACACTTTCATTAAACACTTACTGGATGCTCTAGCAGGTCACAGGTCATACATAACAGTTTCACAAACAGACATCAAAAACATGTATACTACAGTACAGTATACCACAAATAAATCCATATATAACTGTTAAGAATACAGACAGTCCCTGGGTTATATACGAGTTCCTTGCGGATGTTCTTAAGTCAAAACACATACACTATGTGCATACCATACTTACAGAACAATGTTTAAAGTCCCACTATATCATAGCCTAAGTTCTTATATATATCTAAAATAACATACTGTAATTTAAAAAAAAAGAAATAGGTAGTGCACTTGGCGGAAGAGTGAGACTTCTGAACTGACAGATTTCTTACAGCACTCTATTTACCCCAAACTTAACCCCTTTCATTTATGAATTGTACTCGACCATATTATTGTTGGAAACATTTAATAATACTGTACCTCATATAATAAACATAAATACTGTACCTCATATAATAAACATCCTAGGGACCAGATGTCACTTTTGAAGTTATATCCATGTTCATGGATTCTCTCAGGGCTCATGTAGTAAGGTGTGCCCACTAGTGAGTGTGCAGCTGTTGTTTTGGAACTAAAGAACCTCCCCAGACCCAGGTCTCCCAACTTGACCACACCTTGGGCAGTGATGAAGACATTGGCTGGCTTTATGTCTGTATTAAAAATAAAAAATAACTAATTATGCAGGTACTGTACTTTCCAAATTATTTACAAGAAAATGAAGGTTTGAACCTGAAATCCCAGGTTTTCAGAACCCTGACACTTGAGTGGAAAAGAGTTTTAGACCTATTATTTCCTTCGTAACCATATTCTTTAATAAAAAGATGTGGGAGGCAAAGGTTATTATAGGTACTTAAGACTAAGGCCCGTATTCAGAATGCTGGTTTGAAACTGCATGAAGGTTTAAACCAAGGATCGAACGAAGATTGAAGATTGCTGGTACAGGTATTCAAAATGCTGGCTTGAGCCAACACAAAGATTCAAACTGGGTTTGAGATCAGATTTGTCGATCCTCGTGTTAATCCAGCCTGGAGGAAGGTTTAGTGGTCAATCCATCATTTAAGATAGCAAGTCAACATGAATTTTGACAGAGTGCACTTTTCAGCGATGTCGTCAGATTTGAAATTTTGTAGAGAGAAGACTAATGGTAGATAGGCAGAATCCTCTCAAGTTTTATTGTGACGGGCAGTTCAGACAATGATATAGGTTTAGCAAGGGAGATTTCCTTGATATTTTCCGTGATATGGAGCATCTATTTGACAGACCTGTTGGCTATGGTTCACCTCTACTTCCCATTCATCACCGGATGATTGCTTTGAATTTCTTCACAATGAATAGTTTCCTGGTAAGAAATATTCTGGTTTCTGAATGAGTTATGATAATGTGTTAAACACTTTCGTATTTAGGGTTCATGAAGATCAAGTTGGTAAATGTAAAGAATGCTGACACTTCTTTATTTTGAGGTTTCCTGTAGGAAAACTATTTTGATGTATTTTTAATTGAATTGAATAATGCCGAGTGCATTTTGATTTTAATGTATTAATAAAAGAAACGTAACCTAACCAAACCTAGCCAGGTTACCATGCCCTGCATTGATTTATCTTGCTCTGGTTATGAATATTGACACCTGTCCTGGATTATATTGACAATTCGTATGTAATTGTTCTTCCTCTATGAATTTCTTTATCATATTACAACACAGCCACGTTGTAACAGTACCATAAATCATTATAATCTGATTGTAATTATAGTAACAAAAGTAACTTATGATGTGCAAGGAGAGATTTCTCCACCTCCATAAAAACTTGTCGAGTCATAGTTGCCGCCATAATCTTGTAAACATTACTCTCAATAGTGATTGACTGCCGTAATGGAGTGAATGAAAAGTGATTGGCTGGAATTTGTGTTCGAATCCTTGCTCGGAATCGAAGAACATGCAACAGATTACCCGATCCGGGGTTCAAGTAGATGTTCTGAATATGGGTAATCCACTGCAGGAAATCTTGGATCGAGGAATCCCAATTCACACGCTTGAGCCGAGCTCAAATCCCAGTATCAAACCACCAGTCTGAATTCAGGCCTAAGAGTCTTCACCAACACACTAACACATAAAACGTCACATCATGGGTCAACCCCTCAATACTGTAGAGTACCAGCTTATCTCAGTAGGAGAGGGAAAGTGAGTTACACAATCCAGGAGCAGTTATTAAGTATGATTTCAGGATCACCAACTCCTTTAAACTGTAATTTGGACAGAATCAAAACAGGTGAATCAGCCACCAAGATAACTCAGTCTATGGTGTATGTCTTTATTAATGTTTTAATTTTCTTCTTGTATATGCATGTTCTTTGCATACTGTATCTATCTATTCTTTTGATTTGTTCTCATCATGGCTTACAAAACAGTGAATTTCTTTTTAATGGTAGGTAAAAGATATGTCACTTATGCATATATAGTACTGTATACACTACACTCAGTCTAACTGTACAGATTCCTCTATCTCACCTCTATGCATGATTCTCTTTGAATGCATGTGGTCTAATGCAGAGCAGAGCTGCACAAAGTACTTCCATATCGTTTTTTCTGGAATAAGGCGCTGCTGCTTTCGAAAATGTCTAATCATTCGAGAGAGATCCCCTGCGTCTGCCAGCTCCAGGACAATGTTAAGCTCATTGTCCTCAATGAAAGATGCCAGATATTGAATGATGTTTGGATGATTTAGTTTCTGTAACAAAAATAAATTGGGTATCACTCGTACGTGATTCTGTAAAATAGTGTAATTCACAGGATATCATATTTCTTTTAGTGATTTTTTATGACAATAGTTTATCAGTATAGTATAACTTATAGTAAATACATTAGAAAATTAGTAAGCTGGTTTAAGTCATCCACTGCAGCACTATTATGGGAGGCGTGTTCATTTTGTGGTGATGTAACACCACTTGATTATACCCCAAACAAAGCCATTTCCATACATACTTGAAGTAAATTTATTTCCTTCATGCAGTCTAATCTGGCTTTTGAGTCCATCATCTCGAAGATTTGGACCTTTTTTAAGGCCGCTACAGCATGATCGATCTTGCATCTTGCTCTGTATACAACACTGAATTGACCTTTACCAATTTTTTTCTCTATATCAAAATTGGACAGTGTTCCATAAATGGAATCACTCGAAGAAAGTTTGATCAGCTCTGATGCCGCATCCATCTTGTGTGGCTGCCGAGACACATTAGCATTTCTGAAAAAAGGAAAATTATTACTTAATAATTAAGACAGTGTAAGTGATAGGTTATCTTCACTAATACTCCATCCAAAACCTCTTTCATACTGCACAGTTTAATCCCCATGACAGGGGCAGATCCAGGAATATCAAAAGGGGGTGTCCAAAAAGCTGTGGGTGAGAGAACATGGCGAGCACAGCAAGCTCACCCAGCTGGGGGATTTGGGGGCATTTTGAGGCCATTTTGAAGCCATGTGCACTTGATATTAGATATTTTTTTAAGTCAATAATAGTAAATACTTTTTACGATACAAAAATGCCCGAGTACAATACTGTACTGCATTAAAGAAAAGGAGGGGTCCAGACCCCCAGGACCCCCCTTGGATCCGCCCTCGCATGATACTAATAAGGCAAACCAAATAAAAAGATTTGTTTCCACTAACCTGACCCTACTTAGAAAAATTGTTGCCAACCCTAACAATTACATCTGATATTTTGTACACGTTTTTATCTTAATATAAAGTTCATTGTTTTTAATTACTACATCCTTAGATCTTGGTGAAAATGGTACAGTACAGTACATGGATATCAACTTATCTGGACCCATAGTCACAAAGTTGTTGAATAAAATAATTTGATGTGAAAAAATAATCCATCCGACTCCGTCAAATTTTTTTCACCTTCTTGCTGGACACATTCGTATTGTTTTATTTTAAGCCTAATATCTTATAATGTACTGGGAGTGTCACTAAAGGCAAACAACTACCTTATACAGTAGTTGAACTATTTCTTATCACTATATACACATGGAGACACATAAGTTTAAGTGGGAATACACATTACATTTTAGGGTAATTATTTATGACACCCGTCACCAATTTTTTGTAGTGGACACTGTTGTAGTTTGGGCAAATGTGATAAAGGTGGTTATTTCTAAATTTTAAACCTAACCTAACCTTAGTTGATAAAAAAACAAGCAGCTGAAGCATTGTTAAAAGGCTGTGCCAACCTATCCAAAGAAACCAATATAACCTTACCTATCTTCCTAGCTGTGGGGATCTGCCCTCCCCCCCTCCCCCCTTCGGATTCCCCGGCATATTAAACAAAAAAATTACTATGATTTAAAGTGTAAATTTACGTTTTTTTGTGGATGTGAGGGAAGCCACCTCATAAACGTGCATTGAGCATAGGAGTACCAATTTATTACTGCGCAAGATGAAGTAATGCCACTAATGCGAGGCTAGGGGGCTTATTATCTACCAAATGAAGCATTTGCCCAAGAAATAGATATCATATCAGAACTCACTGATGACAATATAGTAGGAAATGAAACATTAAAACAAATAATGTGGTGGCGGGTATCTCATTAATATTAATTCGTTTTATGTTAGGATTGGTTAGGGAGATAAATTAAGGTGTTATTTTGGGTAAAATTATCGTTTTGGTAATACACCTATTTGGAAGTTGTTCAACAAAACACAAAAAAAACCCATCTGAAATACATAATTTCAGCCTAACCTAACCTAAATTTAATATCCTAACATTCACTGGATGACTGAAACGATAATAATACCTTATTTTGTTAGGTTTCTATGGAAAGTTCACTGGGAAATCTTCACTCATGTTCACCTGCAAGCATGTTTACTATTTTGAATATTTATAAGATAAGAAACAAGTTTTCTTCTATTGATTTTTTCCTAAAGTTGCCACTACTAACGAGCATATACTATTACTCACTGACGTTATTTGTAAGATACTAAACAAGAAAATGGAAACAATAATGCAAAGAACCTCAACCAAACCTACTTAACCTTACCTAACTTCATATAATTAAACATGTCAATCTATCTATCTACGTATTTAAGTTACCTGTAAGGACTTGGTGCTTCACTTTGACACATTGTCATTTTTGTTTACATATTCAAATCGTCATGTTATTAGCTAGAACAATATAGTTCCTTGTAAATAAGTAACAATAAATTTAATCTCATATCTCGGTTTAGACATACAGTAATCAATACTAAATGTGTACCAAATAAATATTTCAGTAGATTGCTTAGGTATGGACGAGTGTTTGAAAAATATATAAATATTGTAAATACCTCTGCTAGCCCAACATGAAAAACAAGGGAAATAATAATAATATTTATTTATTCAGTAAAATTATTATATAGGTTTACAAATGGAAAAGGCGTGTATATAAACTATGCGACTACACAGGTCAATATACACAATGTAGGCAAGGAATATATTGGATATTCCTCTCGAATGGCGGCGTTTTAAAAATAATTTTATATGAAAAATTGGCGACGGGTGTCATAAATAATTACCCTAACATGTACTGTGTATTCCCACTTAAACATATGTGTGAATCATATTGAATTGAAACACAGGTGATACGGCATGGATTTTCGCCGCAACACCTATGATTGCCTTCTCACCGTCTGTAGTGACGGATTGCATTTCGACCAGTCAATGCCCTTTTCAATCATAAATTATTTCAGTTTCTGGAAAATGTTCCCCTCTGTTGTTACAACCCCCAATTGGAGGCAGCACAAATAGTGTTCAATTATGGTCTTAGACTAATCTGGAGAGGAGTTACTACTGCCTGGGAAAACATTGGAAGCATAATGTGTTGTCTAATGGTAGACCCTGCTGCCGTAAAAAGAGAAAAAAAAATCACTGCTCTTCCCCTTCCACATTTATTGTTTCGCTCAGCTCCATGGTATAACACAAGCCGTGAGCAACAGAGGGAAACTCGACTTTACCTACTCTCTCCACGACAGTCAACTGGGCACTGAGTTTGAAATTTTAAACTGAATCCACGTCATGTGTCTATAGAAACAATGCAGGCGACGACACACATCACGCGTGACGCCATCCTTACAAATCTCGTCCACCCCTCCACCCACCCCAAGACTGTCGTCCACCCCAAACAAAATTCCCGTCCACCCAGGTTGAATAGCACTTTTAGAATGTAAGTTCGATATTTTTTTTTACTATATTTCTTGTTTTAATATTTTAGATTTACCTGCAATAACGCAACAACAGGTCGGAGGCATAAATTCGTGTAGGAAAGTATAATAATAATAATAATAATAATAATAATAATAATAATAATAATAATAATAATAATAATAAGACGAAAAGCCTGAAGTGTTATGAGTTATATAACACTTAAACTTTATTACTGATAAATAGTGTTCACGACACATTTTGCTTACATCAGTTAGATGCTTCTGAGACTGATCGTGCCACACCTCCTTCCTGATGTATACGTTTTTAAGTTGTGGTCAAGTTATGAAGTGAGTTAAGTGTATTAAAAACTCAAACTTTGAAGGCCGTTGTGGTAATGGCGAAAATTGTATGAAAATCGCCCCTTTTGTTGCCTTTGAGCAAACAGAAAAATGGCAGTAATTTCGTTTAAAGTGCCAGGTTATATATATGTTATGTATATGTTTGTGTTTATATTCGCACGGTGTGTGTAATAATAAAAAATAATAATTGACGATTTATTGAGAAGAAAATCATGGCAGCCATAAGGGTGAAACTATATAGGGGTGACAGGAAAGTAACCAGACATGAGCTGCAGTTTTACACATTGTTCAGTCACCAATAAACCATTATAGATTAATTTGCCACTTGAGGGGTGGCAGCCGTGACGCTGGTGTTTGTGGGATGTACTCGTTACCAAGTGAAAATGGTGACACACACTTGGAGACGACCATGTGCGGGAGTTTATTATTGTGCCAGGCGACGTTTATTCCCCGGTTATGGAGGTTTACGGAGACGATGCCATGAATAGTTAAAAGCTGTAGCAGTAGGTCACACCCTGTACACTTGACCAGGACTGTCATCTTGTTACCTGATACCATAATGTGCGCCACACTACAGTCTATAGAGTCCAGACGGGCCAGTTCTCCATCACTGGTGACCTCGGCGCCCTGTAATTACCATCAGGTGTGACCAGTAAGGAAACACCTCACCTGACGCTGCCGTGATACTGACACTGTTGGTAACGATAATGGCTGGGGTTTCTACGGTGACTCATAAAACAAAACTCGCCATGCGATAAATGTGGTGATGATGACTAGAAAACCTTTGTTGTTACTTCCCGATGATTCCTCGTTCGTGTGGAGATGTGTCGGTGTATAGTTGCGTATTGTAAGGGAATGTGTGCATGTGCATATGTATGTGTGCATGAACATACGTGTTCGAATATTAATGAACTGTATATGTGTCTGTATGTAAGAGACAGACTCAACAATACTCGCCTGCCCTCCAAGACTGAGCGACGAGCGGCCACGACCTGACTCTCTGTAGCCTCACCCTAGCGACGACTGATACACGTCTGGCAATGCCGCCGCCAACACCACCACCACCACACACCCTCCTCTCCACCACCACTACTACACACCCTCCTCTCCACCACCACCACCACTACACACCTCTCCACCACCACCACCACCACACACACCCTCCACCACCACCACCACCACACACCCTCCTCTCCACCAACACCACCACCACCACACACCCTCCCCACCACCACCACCACACCACCACCACCACCACCACCACACACCCTCCTCTCCACCCACCACCACTACACTCCACCACCATCACCACTACACACCCTCCTCCCACCACCACCACACACCCTCCTCCACCACCACCACACTACTACTACACACCCTCCTCTCCACCACCACCACTACTACTACACACCTCCTCCACCACCACCACCACTACTACTACACACCCTCCTCACCACCACCACCATGAATGTGTCATCTTGGTGTTTTATATGTTACCAGAGTATAACTATAATTAGGATAATGTACCATAATGAATAAATCAATATATATGTAACGTGGGCAGCCTAGCGGAACAACTCGTCCAATTATTAAATAAACACCACTTAAGTATTCTGTAACAGTGGCCATAAAAACTTCCTAAACAACATGCATTATATTGTTTATGATGACATATGAGGGTGTAGTGTGTAGTGTGTGTGT